ATGCGAGAAGAATAGTGTAAATGGCAGGTCGCCAAGTGGGGGAAAAGTAGGTAAGTAGGCAGAAAGCCTGACACTCGCAAGTCGAAGTTGAAGTCATTCAGGAAAGTTCTCTGTGGATAAGGGAGCCTGAATAATCGTACAGCCTCATCAACGAGGCTTCGACAATCCAGTAATTATTCATATCCCACTCCTTCCTCGAGGCACCTACCACTGAGGCAATAAGCACCTGACCTTCTAGACAAGAAGTGATTCGACGCACACACACCTCCCTCAGAAGAAACATCGGCCTGGATGCATCGTTCGTCTCTGTTACCTGGATCTTGCCGCCTCATTATCAACTCAATACCGTGCGATCATAAGCCTTGTCAAGGATATGTGTATGACAGATTTGGCCATGAGTGTATTCATATCAGTTATCTCAATCATGCTACGTAATTTCACTAGCAAGGCAGGCGGAAGCAGACGAGTGGGATTATAAAATTCTCATTTGTGACTACATAAAAAAGGGCCAATACCGAGTAGGCATTGAGTTATTAGAGAGAGCTCATACTCCCAAGGGTATCAATGGTATACAAGTGACAGGTAAAGCACGAGCTTTAGTAATAAATCTTCTCGTCCCAGATGGGAGGTCTGGCGCCCTCAGAATCCCAAACAAGCTTGTTCTTCTCATCCAACGTGCAGCCCTCATCGGTGATAGGGATAATCTTGCTAGTCTGAGCAATCTCGTACTTGGAAACACCGGCGGCGTCCTCAGGAATCCAGAGAAGAGGAGGCAGGCTTGAGACTGAAGGTGGGTAGTAGGCGTTATCCTGAATGTTGCCAGGGTACATCTCGTCAATCTGTGTGGGGTCATGGGGAACAAGGTTGCGAAGGTGAAGATAGTCGGCAAAGATCCACGGCTTGAGGAAGCGGGTAATAATGTTACCGCCCTTCTCAACAACATTCTCGTCACCTCCAGGGGCGAACTTCTTGATGTTGGGGATCTTCTTCATGAAGCCGCTCGAATCGCCGTTCTGCTCCTCAGAAACGCCTCTGCCGGAATCCTTGCGGTCGATGCCCTCAATGTCGGCACTCAGCGACTCTTCCTCGACCTGCAGGGATCTGGGAAGAGTGTACAAGAGAGGGTCCAAGACACTGTTCAGAGTGAGGTGGAAGAGGATGGAGAAGATGAGGAAGACGATCATGAGGACAAGGGGTCCAAAAGCCTTCGACACGGAAAACAGACCCACAAGGCAGATCTCTGCCAGGTAGACACCAGCAAAGAGCTGCTTGAGGGCGCGGGGGTACAAGAGACCCTTGGTGTCAATCTTGGTGTCCGTGACGAACAGAATGTTGTAACGGTAAGAAAGATAGAACAAGCCAATGCCAATGGTGGAGAAGAACAGCATCAGAGGAGCGATAAGAGCGTAGGTGATGCCTGGTTAAAGTTAGCAAGAAAACTAGGATTGAGATGGAAGTGCAGGAACTTACTGATGACAGCAATGGTAGTGTAAACAGGGAGGACGCTTCCCCACGAGATAGCAGCAAGAGTGGACCACTTGTTGTACAAAGCTCTGGGCGTATTGGTGAGGAACTTCAGAATGGCCACGAAGATGGCAAATGCAACCACCTGGGTCAAAACACCGGTGGCGAGGGTAACACCCTGGAGGATGAAGTAGCTGACGTAGAAGCTGGAGGATTTGGGAATTGCCGTGGACAGGGTGCTGAAGATGGAGCCCGGGTTGTTTGAAATTGCCTGAATGGTCGCTACAGCAGACGAGGAGACAGTCGTAATAAGAAAGACCTGAATGAGCTGGAACCAGTAGTACGCGTTCTGGGTGAAAAGCTCGACGCGGGAGTTGGAAGGCTCGCCAGAAAGCTTGGCGCAAAGACGCATGATAACCGGCACCAAGGACATGAGCACAGCCAGAGCCACACTGGGGAGGAGGCCAGAAACGACGCCCATGATGACGTCGGGGATCTTGTCGAGCCACGTAAGGAAGGAAACCTTCTTGAGATACGAGACTTGGGAGATAATTCCGACCACTGTGACGGGAATAGCCCAGAAAATTATAAGTGCGCTGATGAAGGCAATAACGGCATAGCGACGGATAACGCGCTGCCACCAAGATACTCTGAGAGACTTCCAGATGACCTCAGTAGGCTGGATACCAATGTACTTGGGCGTCATCTGAAGAGCTTGGTGATGAGTGGTAACCTGGTAAGCAGCCTGGGCGTCGGATTGAGTGTAGAACTCTGCGAACACAGCCGGAACTTTCTTGGCCTTTCCAGCACGGTAGTCGGCTTGAGCGGCATCGACGGCGGGAATAAGGCGCTGGAGCTCGGAACGGCACCATTCAATGGTATCAACCTTCTTTCCAATGAGGCCCAGGAGACCAAGGCGGTGAGTAGGGCGCTTCTTCTGGGGGATCCAACGAGCAGCGGCATCGGAAGCGCCAGCCTCGGTGTCTTGAGCCGAGGGAGTTTTCTCAGGAGCACCACCCTTCTTGGCAGCCTTGAGACGAGCGGCATTTGCCAACTTGATGAGCTTCACCTGGGCCTTTTCGAGCTTCATGGCGACCTTGTCACGCTCCTCAACGAGATCGTCCAACTTCTCGGTGTCGCCAGTGATCCAAACTCTCTTGATCGAGTCGCTGAAGAGTTTCTTGAACTTGGCTTCATCAAGGTACTCGTCGGGGACTGATACGAAAAGGACAGTGCGAGACGAGATTCGCTTAGAATAGGTGGGCGAAAGCAGGAAAGCCTGACGCAAGTTGATGTAGAAGATGCACTCGCGCATGATCATGTACATGACGAAGCCATAGAATAGCCAGCCAATGAGAGCATGTGCGTACAGGCGGTTGAGTCCAGAGGAGGATGCGACGTCGATGTTGCTGTAGGTCAAGATGTCGAGCTGCTTGGCGGTGCCTCCGCCGGTAGCATTGACGGGGAAGAGGACCGGCCATGTCATAACAAGGCCGACCAGGCAGATGGTGGCACAGATGCGGAGGAATCGAAGGAAGAGATAGGAATCGAGAGACTGGTGCTTGAGGGCGTAGACATCAGGTATCTTCCAAAAGTGACTAAACCAGTTGAACAAGCCACTGGGCAGACTTGGTGATCGCTCGCTGTGAGGCAGTCAGGATTTGAGACTCATCAAGACACAAGAATTCCCACGCACCTCTCACGCAAACTGCCAAGATAAGTTCTCGGGGCATAAAACCGCCTTTGGCTGCGGCGAAGGATCAAGAAGATGACGAGGTAGACGCCAGCAATGGGAGCGCAGACGGCTAGAGTACTGACGAGGCCTGAAATGGAGCTGCCCGAGGTATCGTCGAGAGCCTCGCCGCGGTTGGACTGGCCGCCTTCGGCATCGCCAAGACCCGACATGATGGCGTCTAGGCGAATTGAGACGCCTGGTGGTCGTTTTGGTTGTTGGTGTTTGTGTGTGTGCTGGGACAAAGTTGAGTCGAGAGAGAAGACGCGAGGTCAAATACGGTGGGGGTCCCTGGGGCCAAGTCGGGTATTAAACAGGGAAGGGTATCGAGGGTCGTGTGCGGTCGTGGAGAGACTCAGACAGGCGAAGGGCCGTGGACACTGGAGTCTGAACCTGAGCAGTGGGTGGGAAGAGAAGAGAAGGTCAAGGGACAGGGGGTTAAAAAAGAAGCAGTGGAAGGGGGGAAGGGTGGGGGATGATATGTGTGGTGCGCGTTGTTGAAAAACCGGGAGTTGGGAAATGAGACGATGGGTTCGTAGCTTGTCAGGATGCTGGGATGGGCCAGGCCGAGCGTCGATCAGTTACACAAGCGACGAGGTGCCCAGAGCTCTGAGGTAACTGATTGCGCGCTGGTGAGGTGAGGTAGTGCGGTGCGCTTGCGGGCGATAGTTTGCTATGGTCTGGCCTTCTGGTGGTGCGGTGTGCTGCTGCTTTGGATACTTGGTGCAAAGCTGCAAAGGGGGTACGTCGAACCGCAAGAGAAGAGCAGAGCAGAGCAGAAGAAGCAAATAGGTAGTGACGTGACCGTAAAGTGATGGTAGCTTGGGGGAAATTGGGCGCGTCTCCCAATGTCTCAGTCCCGTTGTGCTGAAAGGAGGTGACGCCACAAGACAGCACTAGGGGTAGCGTTAGTCTATCTTTTCGTGCCCCCTTCTATTGCCTATGATTGCCGCTGTTGCTGTCACGACTGTTGCGCCAGCTCAAGTCGAGTCTAGTGTAGCTAGAAGGATGGAGATGGGGGAGTAGAGCATGGAGGGTTTCTGGGGATGAGAGAAGGAATTGTCGATCGAGCCGAGGGAGCTTACCTTCGATGAAGCGATGAAGGGCTGCAGGCAGGAAAGAGGTTGGTCACGACGCAATAACAAGCAGATCTTGGTGGAGAATGATGGGCAGACCGACAGATGGATGGAGTCGTTGATAAAGTCTGTGGCAGGAAGTGATGCACGAGTCGTAATGCCTCTTCACTATCGAATGTCTGCAGTCCGATGTCTCTATCTGGACAATGTAATCCGAAAGTTTGAGATGAATTATAATACATACCCTTGGTCCGATGAGGGGTTGTCGTCGTCCCTTATTCTTATTTTCAAAGGGTCCTCTCTCTTCTCAAACAGGCCCTCCCACCGACCAGGAAGGAGGCACACAGAGACGAAGCATGAGAGGGAGGCCACCGATAGATTCAAATCGAGAATCCCAGTTCGGCGTGGCCTAGAACGGGTTGTCACCCATTCCACACTGGTATGCCGCTGGTGCACGACACACACCAGCTGAAGACAGCTACATTGGGCCCTCCTCTTGGACCACCGTCAGCAGTGAAGGCCGACTGGGTACTGCTTGTTCATGCAATCGAGTAAAGCCTCACCTCACATGCAAAGATTGCTCCCTCACAGTGCCGGGACAGATCGTGTTGGTGGCGCGGGCAAGGGGAAACGAGGCGCGGAGGTGGTGTGTTCCAGGTTGAGCTGTCGGCAGAGCCACCGTCTCAATGGACGCTGGACGCGCCGCAGGGTTTGGAGTAGCTAGCAAAATGCCAGCCAATGCCAACTATGACGCAGACACGCAGCGCCAATCCACCTCGACCAAGCCCGTGCAACTTGCAAGTGCATTGTCTTCTCTGAGTGCACACCAGCACTACAGGTAGGGAGAAGTACTGCACTACTGCGTAAGCGTGGTAAGAAACATACACAGTAGGAGTGAGTCCCTTCGTCCAGACAGGGGCTAGCTCAATGTGAATGTGCCATTTTGGAGGCAGGAAGAGGTGAAACCAAACCTGCAAACCTGCACCTTCCCAACTTCTGGCCCCACTTCCATCTCAAAGTTGGGCATGGAAAGTTGGATCCCCTGGCAGCTTCCTGGTGTCGATGCGCCTGCCATCCTGGGAACGGAAACGCACCTACCACAAGGTGGGTCCCTTTACAGCCTATCGACAATTCCTGGCCACTCGAGGTGAAGTGGGTCGGCTGAACACTGCATGCGACGCTTCTTGATTGGCCGACGTCTTTCTAACTGGAAACCATCTCTCACGATTCAACGATGCCGTTGCCGGTTTGTGGGCACTGCCAAATCTTTTTTGCTTACTTTTTGATTAAATCTTTTTTTCTTCTCAAGCTAGGTACCGTATTCTTCAAATTCTGTAGCCAACTCGAGGGTCTAGATTGCCCTCCAGTAACAAAAGTCTGCAAAGTATGAATACCTACACAGTCGTGGTTTTGGCTCCCTCCCGTCTGCACCTTCCCTCCGTGACCTCCAGAGGCTCAGACACCATCAAGGTCCGTTCATTCTGACGCACCCAAACATTCGTCGCTTGTCTTGGGATGCGTTCATCTCTTTGACTTCAAACGGTCTGCAGAGTATGGTCTTCACTCTAATCCTTACAAGTCGCATTTCCTCCTTCTTCCTCTCTACCGCTACCGACCTGTCCTGATTCACGCGGCTCACTACCCGGAAACACCGTGGTCCACCAGCCCTGCCGTCCGCCGGCAGCGTCGCAGCCAACAAATGAAACCCTCGGCAGACACCCAAAGTGCGCTGGCTGAGATTCCCGGTTTTCACCACTTAAAATCTCGACTTTTATCCTTCCCGCTGCAGGGCTCGTCGCGGTTTTACAGGGTCTCCGGCCAATTGCTGCGGGCGGTGCCACATCAAACCCCATCAAACTGGCCTTCAGACGGCCAACTCTTGAATATTCAGACCTCCATTTTATCATCCTTCACGGCATCTTCCCCGACCACCGCCAATTCTTCCTCGAAAGTTCTTGGCCCTTTCCAACGTTTGAAGCTTTTGTTTTTTACCCGGCGAGACGGCGAGCGGCACGAGTAACGGCAGCCACCCGGCACCAAACCTACCGAGTGACATCAACGTGCTTGGCTTGGCTTCCTCGGCCGAGTGAGCGACGTACCTACCAGAAAATACCCCAATTCCGCCTGCCCACTGACGCAATGCCCTCATGTTTGTCCATGCTATCGACAAGCTACGCACAATCCAGCATCCACTTCCGCGCGGCTCTTGCGCATCCCGTTCGAAAACGTCGATAACATGACAGCCCTCAAGATACCCCAGAATAGACGGCTTACACACCGGCCGGCTGGGCAGCCCTTCGTAGGCGTCATCGAAAATGCCATGCCCGTATGGACTTTGGCATTCGCGCACCTCCAAATCGCTATAGCTCTGTGACCCAACGCACCGGTGGTCTTGGAAGTCGGGGCACGGAGACGAAGGATGAATGATGGGATCTGTGCCACTTACCGTCTCTCGAGTCTCGACGAATGCTGCCAATTTCCTGCTCTGGAACGCTTCGCTGGACGCCCACCCATGTTTTCTTCCCTAGCGCCGATGGTCGCCCACCCCAAACCGCATCCGGACGTCCTATCAACCTACATCGGCGCTACTCTACCAGAAAATCTCAAATCCTCCACAGTTTGACACCCGTCCCCATGCTACCATTGACAGACCATCTCCTCTAGGATCCCTGCTCGGCTGACGAAGGAAATTGTGTCTCCGGGAGAAACGCTCATGGTGGACCAGCGGCCAGTCGAGCCCAGGGCCGGTGAGCCACAACACCACGAGAGACAAAGCCGCACCGCCTGAGAATCAAGACAATCCACCAGCCACTACTGTAACATTATATCTACGTACACTGTACTCCGTACTCTGTACAACGTTTGACGACAGTAGCCGCCCGTGGCCCTCTTAACACGGCCTACTGCCGGTTGCATCGTTCCGAGACATCTTTATTTGTTTCCAGCTTGCGCGCCAAACGGCCAAGGACGCGCATTCTGGAATGCCACGACGCCGATGACAGGTAGGCAATGCCGCCAACAATGCGGCATCGTCCCTGGCCGAAGAGTGATCAGCCCGATCAAGGCAATCTGCAGTCCTCAGCATCATCTGCATGTTTACAACTCATCAGCCTGCATAGCTGGACATTACTGCACCTCTTGCAGGTTCGCTTCCCACGTGCGCACCCGCAAGCTGACCGGCCGCATTTCGACCGGCCCAGGCCCCCATACCGCACTCGACCCCTTCATCAAACATCCCGGACGACTTCGCCTCAATTCCAGACCTCTCCGTTGAGAAATGAGAAACGCCAACCTAGGCGGCCGTTCTAAACTCTATTTGAAGGCTCCGTTCGGGACTACGCCCGATAAACAACCATTGGCGATACTGCTAAGCAGCAGGAAAGCAAGCACACTTGCCGATGACCGGATAAGACGAACTTCAGCCTGGTTTTTAGACTCATGACTACGCTTAGAGCCGGTCCAGCTAGTGCTGCCTGAACGAAGCTATCCAGAGGCCGTGGACTGCACATGGCTTTACAGTTCCGATCCCTTCGACACTTTCAGATATGTGGTCTGATCTAAAATACACTCTCCCATATTGCTGAAGTGACGAGGCTTGTCTTTCCGGAGCAAGAGTACATTACATGCCTTGCTACTGAATCTTAAAGTATGCATGTGCCTAAGGGCGCCAACATTTGGGCATCTCGATCTGAGGACGATGGTCACGTTGCTCCAAGATGTCATTGTCTAGGTGTTGTTGCCTGGCTTTTCAACGAAGTCGGTTGAAGTTTCATGGTTCATTTTCTCAGTTCTTATTGCTCATCCTTGCTCAGACATTGTGGACAAGTGACGATCTTGTAACAAAAGAAGGATGCCGCCTTCCCCTAGATTAGAGGATGATAAAGGCTGTCGTCTCAGACAAGACATCACCTCCATACTCTGACAATGAAGGAAAGTCGCATTCATATGCCATGAATGGGAGCTATCATTGTTCCCGACTTAGACCAACATGAAAACCAAGCGCAGCTATTGTTTGTCTGATCAATGTTGAGCTTGCCATTGGAAACCTTTCCATAGTCTCTTTGTTCCAATAATTCCATCAGGTGCCACCACTATGAAAAGCCCATTCCTTCCAATCGACAGCATTGATAATAACTCAATGCCTCAAAGATGGCCCTTACCGGTATCGTCACGTTGTTCAACCTTTCATCTCATCAGCTGGCTTTCCCACTGCACACCGGAGTTTCTCTTGAGATTTACACTTGACCAAACTTCTCATCATGGCCTCCTCCCAAGCTCGCCTGCCAAAGACACCATATGCCGACGCCTACCAGTCTCGCTACATTGAGGAGATCCTTTGCCTAGGTGGCGGGAATGAAGACGCTCCACACGGTCCATATGCCGAGATGGATACCGAACTTCTGGGTCACGTCAACTGCAGCTATCTCTCGACACATGGACACGCGCCTACGCTGCTCGCCCTCAAGCAACACGCGCAAGCGCTGACCATCCTGATTGCCCAGCTCGTGCCGACATCTCAGTACGCCGAGGTGGACAATGAGAACAACAACGAGGGCCGCATCCAAAAGTCGTTTAGAGACAACGAGGCCTTTGACTGGCTCAACGACTTGCAGAAACCATACACAAACGAAGACGAGTGGCACAACAAGCCCCTGACCGACCTCATGAACCTGATCCAGCACGAGTCCGACACCCAGGGCACCGTCCACCACTGCCCCCTTCACGAATTCAACGAAGACAAGGACAAGCGGACCAAGCCCCGCCCCTACGCCACGCACACCGCTCTGGCCTCCCACGCAAACGAGTGTCTCGAGATGCTGGACCACGAGTACGGCGCCACGGGCGGCCTCCTCTCCCTCCTCCCGACCAACGAGGACCGCGACTCGGACGAGATGGCCGCCGTGCGCAATAGTCTCCTCGGCCAGTGGCTCCTCTACACCCAGCACCTCGTGGCGCGCATGCACGACCTCGAGCTCGGCTACGCCAACGCGCTCGACGTCACCGCGGGCGAGGCCGCCGTGCCGATGCAGATGCTCTCGAGGATGGGGCCGGACGCCGCCTCCGGCCGCGAGGTGGCGTATCCGCAGGATAAATGGATCCTCGCCAACGCGGGCGACGACGTGTTTGACTTTTTGCACCGCGTGCTGGACAGGCAGGAGGCGCAGATTGAGCAGAAGAGGGAGGTGTGGGCGGCGAACGGGACGCATGGGGAGCGCATGTGGAACGAGCAGCGAGGCGGGGATCTCTATGCCCGCGGGCTGGTGTTCTACGACGTCAAGACGAGGTATTACAGGCTGGCGGGCAAGGGGAGCAAGAGCACCATCTTCGTGCTGCCGGCGCACGGGGAGCACCCGGCCGTGCAGCAGACGCGGCGGCTGGAGGTGACGCCGACGGTGGTGTCGGTGGTGGCGCCGAAGTGGCCTGCGCGGGTGTCGGACTGGGAGAGCAAGTACAAGAACCAGCTGGACGAGGCGACGCGGATGGGGATTCAGAATCACCGGTTGACTAGTGCGGGCGAGGCGATGAAGGAGCACAATGAGATGTTGGCGACGGAGCTCGATAAGGCGAGATTCATGAACGAGCAGTTTGAGAAGTACTACGGGCGGTCCGAGGTGGCGGAGGGGCCGAGGATGTTGGAGAGGGCGGTGTCGATCTTGCAGAGGGACGTCAAGGATAAGGCGGATGAGATTACGGGGCTGTTGAATATGGTGAGGGAGGTGAGGGATAAGTTGCCGAATCAGTTTGCGGGGTTGTTTGATGATTTGTTGGAGTTGAGTGAGGAGGAGGAGGAGGAGGTTACTGCTGATGCGGGTGGCGAGGCGGCTGAGGAAGATGTGGTTTGACTGATGTTTGGGTGGTAAAGTGTGTAGATGAATACATGGACGGGGTTGTACAAGTATGGAGTTTGATAGATGGTGTTTTCTTGAATAAGTGGTGATGCAGAGGTAAGGTGACCTCGATGAGCATCATGTTACTCAAAGGTCCGCCAGTTGCCACATGAATGAGAACCCTTTTTTGTTTTTCACCAAGGTAGGTAAGGTACCAACGATACTTTAGGCCTGATTTCTCTTAAGTTGACCAGAGCTGGTTGGATTTTGGGAGAGCCAACGCTTTGAGAACGTCTCTTTGAGCAAAATGAATTTTCTTGTGAAATAAATATAGCTATGAAAACTCAACCTAGAAGAGCAGCATGAGTAATGGTGATGCGAAGGGAAGATCAAGTACTTCAGATATAGAGTTGTCAAATATTATGAGCAGCAGTAGGGATAGTCATGGAAGCTCAGCTAAAAAGAGCGGCAGAAGCAGTAGCAGCAGAAGCATTAGTAGTGATAGTGATACTGAGGGAAGGTAAGTATACGCAGGACCTCCAGATGTAATGAGAGGCAGATAATGTTGTCACCCAGTTGAGTGTCTAGGTGACGCGGAGATAGGACCGAGATGCAAAAGTCGCGCAATCTGGAGGCTGGAGGTTGGACGGAAATGTCTTCTGTTTTTGCGGTAGTGTAGCTTCAGATGAGTTACCTTAGCCTGGTTGATGAGGCAATGTAAGACAGATGGACGCACGTAAGGGGGACCCTTGCATGATTCATACAACCACTTATATGCATTGTCACGTTGAACATGTGATTTATTAACTTTTCCATTCAAACCGGACTCATGTGGCCATATTGCTGCAAGTGACAATAGTTCCACCGAGCATCGACAGAAAGATTGAAACAGACACTCGAGAGATAAAACCGTCCGTCGGTCGTTCGCGAATCACCGATGGCCCCCCCGTCGAACAAAGAACGGCAGCAGGGATGTACAATACACCTAGTCCCGATTGGGGATGGCGCACATCAGTCAGCAGGGGTCCTCCGTAGCCGAGACCCTCCCACCCAGCGGGGCGTTGCCCCAGACGACGGTCTGACAGTCTGCGCTGCCGCCGCCAAAACAAAACCCTCCAAAGCTTGGAAACACTCACACGCACTCACTCACGCACCCAGCGCACTTCCTACTTGCAGGCAACCCTTGACCGGT